GCTGCAGGGTGACACGATGACAGACAGGGCTGCAGGGTGATACGGTGCTGAGGCTGTAGGGTGACCTGGTGACAGGGTGACCTGGTGACAGGGTGACAAGGATGCAGAGCGACAGGGTGACCAGTGACAGGGTGGCAGGGCTGCAGGGTGACAGGACTTCAGGGTGGGTGACACAACAACAAGGCTGCAGGGTGACACGGTGACAGGGTGACACAGTGACAGACAGGGATGCAGGGTGACAGGGTGGCCCAGTGACAGGGTGACAAGGCTGTAGGGTGGGTGACACAGTGACAGGGCTGCAGGGTGGGTGACACAGTGACAGGGTGACACGGTGACAGGGCTGCAGGGTGGGTGACACAGTGACAGGGTGACACGGTGACAGGGCTGCAGGGTGGGTGACACGGTGACAGGGCTGCAGGGTGGGTGACACAGTGACAGGGTGACACAGTGACAGGGTGACACGGTGCCGAGGCCGCCTGGCTGCAGGGCCAGGGCTTTGTGCCCTCTCGTGGCGGCTGCTCGGGGCCGCCTGTCCCGCAGCGGGAGGGACATATTCCAGAGGGAGGGAATAACCCCAGAGCTCTCCCAGCTCCCAGCACGACATTCCCGGGGGACAGGAGCGGTGACAGCGGGGGAGCACAGCTGTCACCAGAGCGGTGCCACCGCCACAAACGCACCCACACCGATCCGCTCGCCAGCTCTGGGTGACTTTTCCCGAGCGATTGGAAACGGGAGCTGTTCCACAGCGGGCGGGAGCGGCTCCAGCTCCCTGTTTGGGTTGGGAGGGGGAATGTTGCTGTTGGAAAACGCCAGTTTGTCAAAATGGAAACGTTTGGCGAGAGCGGATCCATCCCGACAAACTCGTGTCCAAACGCAGCCGGGGAGACTCCGGGAAGGCGAGGGGGGGAGCGCAGGGCACTCACCCTCCTCTGCCTCGGCGTGGGGGGCTGGCAGGGCTGGTGCCACGGGGCCTCTTGGCACCGGCAGCTGCCCGCAGCGCAGTCAGAGGCTTCCTTTCTCACCTTCAAAATTTGGGAAAAAGCCCTAAAACACGAGTTTGCGGCCGGGGCCAGGCGCCGAGGGCTTGGGATGTGCCCAAGGTCACCCCAGCCCCGCGTCTGGAAGAGCTGGGGGGGCCCTGCAGGAGGGTCAGCCTAGATCCCACCAGTCAGGCAGCTCAGGGAACTGAGGATGAGCAGCTCACGTGCAAGTTTTTAAGCCAAATTAGGGCATTTTGGTTGAAATAAATGAGTTCTGCAATGTTCTCCCTGTGTTTGGTGTCCCTGGCTGGCAGTGGCCACCCTCACAGCTCTGTGGCCACCCAGGGGTGGCTGTGCCAGGACCTCACCAGCCTCGATTGTCACCACCAAAGCACGAGGGATGTTTTTCCCCTCTCTGGGTCCTGGCAGGAATGAGCAATCCTTGGCAAGCCCCAGGGCCGGGCTGGTGGCTCAGCAGCTCCCTGGGACCTGGTGGCTCCAGCGGGGGAACTGTGGCCATGGGGAGGGAGATGTTCCATGGAGAATCGTGGCCAAATCCTGCTCAGAGCAGTGGGATCAACTCATCCCATAAATCCCAATCCCGGAGCAAGGCATGGTCCTGCCTGATCCAAGACAAGTGCCAAATGCCACCAGGGGCCAAACCCAGCAACATCAGCACCCTCTCCCCATCCCAAAACCAGCAGGGTGGGTTCCCTGCCACCCCACCGGTCCCCCCAGCACCGTGACCCTCCTCAGACCCCTCCTCTGCCCACCAGCACGGGCAGGCGGGAGCCGCAGCGCGGCTGCTCTGGGATTTCTGGGATTTCCCCGAGTTTGTTATTACAAAGAAAGAAAGAAAAGGGCTCGGGGGATCAGCGGGGATGAAAAATGCTTTAGAAACACGGGGGATCATTTAGCAGGTCACCTCCACGGCGCAGTTTGCCAGGCTGATAAAGGCGAGCGCGCTTATTAAAGGCGCGCACAGCTTGATTGGAAACGGCTGCTCCCAAACAGCCAATTACTGCGGCCTCCCAATCCAATTAGGGAGGCTGTTTCCCTGATTGCAGCGAGTGTTGGACAAATACAGCACAACTGCTCAGGTTCAGAGAGCAGCCCATAAAAGGCAGCTGGAGGCAGGGATGCGGGATGTCCCAGTCTCAGTCCCAAGGGATTCGCGATGTCCCAGCCTCGGCACGGTGACCCTCGCTGGGAAAGCAGTGCTGGGAGTGTCCCTAAAGCCACCAGGCCAGGGTCACTCTCCACTGTCCCCACCACGAGCTCTCCATGGGGTTATCCAGACAGGGATGTCACCTGGAGCTTTGGCAGTGCCGCCACCCCTCTGTAGCCCTGTCCAGGGTCTCAGAGAAGGCCTTTCCCCAAGATTTGAGGTTTATCCGCTGGGTTTTGGGGAAAAACTCATCATCAATGTCACATTGCAGGGGGATTTCTCCCGATCCTGCAGTGGGGAAAGGCAGGATGTAGAGGAGAAACCCAGGTGGGACCATCAGGGCTCTGCCAGAGCTCCCCAGAGCAGATCAGGGATCACATCTCCTAATTCAGATCGCGAGCGCAGCACACGGAGCCGATCCCCTCCACACCCAGCTCCCCATCACCTGGGGCAAAGGAGACACCAAAAACTCATCACCAAGGATTAAAAAGCAAGCCACAAAGCCCAGCCTCGCTCCAAGAGGCTGAGCTGGGCTAGGGGGGCTGAGCCACAGCTCCAGCAGCACCACAGCCATCCCAAGGCTCACCGCAGCCGCTCCAACGGGTTCGCTCCAGAATCCTGGCACGCGGCCACCGCTGGGGTGGAGCCCAGCCCCTGTTATTAAAATGTGTGACAGCAGCTCAAGATGGAAAGTGAAGTTGTACATTCTCCATCTGAAACTCCGGGAGGAATTTCAAGCAGGGGAATGCAATTTCCAGCCTGGAGGAGAGCCAGCAGCGCCAGGGCGAGATTTTTCTTAATATGGTTTTGCAAAACTCGAACACAGAAAATTGCCCGTGGCTACAGCAATTCCGGGGAGTTGGAGACAGCCCCGTGCTGGGAGGAGGAGAGGGTTTTGTGCAACCAAAACACCCTCCAGCTCCAGCAAGCTGCTGTCCCTGCCACCACCAGGACCTTTGGTCACCTCAGCTCCCCGCTCCAGCCCCGTCTCCGCTGGGATTTGGGGGCTGAGCAGGACAAACCCGCTCTCCTGGCTCGGGAAGGCAGCAGCATCCCAGGAGGGTTTTGGCTGGGGATCCTCCACCAGCCCAAGAAGTGGATTTGGGTGCACCAGCTGTTATTGTCCTGATGGAATTTTGGGCCAGTGACCTGCAGGACCACGGCAGCCCCGTGCTCCAGCAGCCAGGGCTGGCTCCCCTCCAGCTGGAGTCACAAAAAGAGCCTCCCCTCCCATTTCTGCTTTTGATTTAAATAATCCCAGTAAGGGGATGAAGCAGCCAAAAC